TAATAAAGTATACTAATTAAAAGTAGTTTTCTCCAGGGCTTTACTTTCCAACATTTAGYCGGGCTTTTTTTCCAAATACTAAAAATTCATTATCATCGAAAACCTTGCTAAAAACGTTTTAAATTATATTTTCAAGTTTTTACTTTTTTAAAAGACATAATTCAGTWTTAATTTCATATTCCAACATTGAACATAGAATATATTTTTATAAGTATTTCGATGCATGAAAATCGAATTTAGGACGATTAGTTCATGAGCTAAACGTATTTAAAGTTTAGAAGATTGGAGTGTAGTGATATGCAGTTACTCCACAAAATGTCGATCCAWTACTCCRCGTCACGACTCATCTCAGGATCATCTAAACTATAATACTTAATYCTAAATTCGATTTTTATTTCTCGGAAACACTTAGGAAATAGATAGCTTTTAAAGTTGAAATTAAAACTGTATGTTGTAATTCAAAAAAGTAAAAAACAAAATGTTTAAAAATACAATTGCAAAAAATAAAACATTTTACCTATATTGTATAATGACTTGAAATCGAGTAAAATTTTATTTYTCAAAAATACCAATACTTTTTGAATACAATGAGTTCTATATCTTACTATAATTGAATCAACAGGTATAGGTAGTTATTTGTTACATTTTTTAAATTTAATCGAACAACATTCGCATATTATTGTACTTATAGCTATAGCATAACGTCATAATAATAATATTATTGTGCGGCGTACGTATAATTATTACGTTTTTCGATCGCTCGATAGCGAATGATAATATAATACTAATATATACCCATTACAGGCACCTATCTCATATATAGGTACCAAACGTTTATTGAGATCCGTGACCTATACGGCTATACGCATACAATATATTGCCTACACCTATATATAACATGACTTACACCGCTGCAGGGAGTGTCCTACTACTACAACTATATACAATCACCGCGCGTAATATAATAATAATAATAATAATATAAAAGTACACATTATAATATTTCGATTGCGCGCGCGGCTGACCTTTGGCGAATCAATCACGCAGCGCGGCCGGACACACGGTCGGTACACCACTGATGCAGCGGCCTCGATTTTTATTATTATTGTTTCGTTTTTGCCACGCCACTGCTGCATTGTGTGTAAGGCGTCGCAGGTTCACTGCAACTAGTGAGAATAATGTGATCATAATAATATAACACCCAATAATGTGATGTAGCTGCATTTTCCCCTCGGACCGGACGAATTCGCTAACGTTCGAAAAACAAATATAGCCGGAATCACAGCTACGTCGTGTCACCTACCTAACCTGCTGGGGCGTGGTAAATGTGGTTATTAACTAGCTGGTTCCTGGTTACCATAATGGTTTAAGCCGGATCCATATAATAGGTACACCAATGTCGTTTGTCGTGTCGATCAAATTGGATATTACTTTTTCGGTATCATTATAATATGTAGTATTATGTACCAACCAGGTCCTATTTTTATGTGCACCGCGATACACAATGCGCATTGTGCACCACGAATGCACAAGTGTGCATTATGATTTGAACGTGTGTGCACTACGGTATACAAAACAAAAATTACATGCCAGCTACTAAAAAATATGAGTACCTATTTCCTGAATTTTGTTATTTGATTTGATTGCATTGTTAAATTATAATACTTATATACTTATATACATATATACCTTCTTCTTCTTTATCAGTTTGGCGGTCCATTCTGGATCATCGCTTCCATCAAAATCTCTCTCCATCTGCCACTCTGATATGCTGTATATATAGTGCATACAATTTTAGTTTAAAGCAGTAAAATTAAGTGTGCAGTCAGAAATTTAAAAAAAA